TTGATTGTTGTGCCACCTGTGCCTGGAAAATGGAAATTGGAAAATAATATTTTAACAAAATGAAATTATATAAATTTTATTTTTTATTATTTATCAATTATCATATCAATATTTGCCTTATATAACCTGAAAAATAGTATCACTAAATTTTCATGTGATAAGTTCTTATGTCCTATCCATTCTTATATTATCTATGGTGGAGATCTAGAACGCCATTTTTTGTTTTTGTAACACATAGCTGCTCTCATGTCAGACATCAGACGCCATACCATCTCAGAAAGATTATTCTAAAACATTGATCTATTATATTTTTAAAGGTCGTACGAAATTGGCACAGAATCGAAATTTTAAAGAAGACGATGTAAGTACCTTAATAATATTTATAGGAGACTAACTTCCTTTCTTCCACTGACCAATCGGTTCGACATAATCAATTCTGTCGGTTAAATTTTATAATCAGAAATAATCATTGTCAAGTCGTTTGTCTAGTAAAAAGTTGACAAGGTCCAATGATATATTTTGAATAAATAATTTGATCTACCATGGTCCACGGATGCCACCCTTTAAGTTCTTATTCAGTGAGCAATAAAGAATATTTATTAATATACGTGGGTATTTCAGGAATTGTTTAAAAGCAGTAATTATATTATGGACCTGCATCATAGCTTTCAATGCATCGGTGACCGCTTTCGTGTTTAATAAAAATTGGGACGTAAAATCAATAAAAGTAAGCTCTTGTGGACCAATGCTTAGAAAGATAGTAGTATACTATGAGTATATTCGTAATGAGAAAACAAAGCCATTTTTTGAAGAAATGGAAGATGGTATGTGAACATTTTAGTGTAAAACTGTAAAGACTACATTATACCTATACCATATTGATTATTATAATGTAATTGAATATTTTTTAGTTATGAGTGGAACACATACGTTCGTACGTATTTTTGTGACGCCATGTGATAAAGATGTACCACAAGTATATTATGAAACACCGATTCAGGATAGGCGTTGACAGTCAATCAATTACAATTCAATCCATCACTGCAAGATCACAAAAAGAAATGTCAAGAAAATTAATAAATGCATAATGTGTATTCATTATTTATAAAATTTTTAAATAATTATTTACATTAAAATAATGATTATGTTCAGTTGTAAACTTCTGTATTGCCCAGTAATATATTATTTTTTTGGGGTTATATCAAAAATTGAAATTACATCATTTTTCTTGAGATGATTTTTTATTATATTGACAATCACACAATAGATTTCCACGTTTTACTTCTTCGTTGAGCAATTAATGTAAAGATTTTACAATTATGGGTTTTTTTAGTTGGTGTATGAAGAAAAGTACCTACATTAACTTTAAGGAAAACAATAATTTTGATTACCAAGTCAGTTTTCTACAATTGTTGAGGTGTCCATTTTGAGTGGTCTTTTCAATTAGAATTTTCTAGAATTGGTATATGATTGTAATTTGTATAGTACGATTACTCTCTTTGTGATATATGAGGACATTTATTATTTTATCAATGTAGGTATGTATTATTACATTTTATTTTTAAATAAAAACATAGTAGATATTTAAATACTAGGATCCTGATAATATTATGTTTCTCTTAGCTGAATTAATAATTCCTAAAATCATATGTCACATTTAAAGTATTTAAAAACATTAAATAAACAGAGGCAAGAGTTGGCATTTTAATATTTGCTTGGTTAGGTCAATAACCGTCCTTATAAAGGAAATGTGGTTCCTCAACTATTATTTAATATTATTTTACAATTATTTTACTCAACTTGTACTCTACAGGAAAATTGTCTATATATCGTATGGAACAATTTGTTAAAAGTAAATCTTATATTATTGTGAACTGTAATTGAAAACTTGAAAATAATTCGCACTCCTAAAAGAATAGTGACACAAATCAAAACATCAAAATGTTGGGAAATTGACTTTTAATTTTTCTTTAAGTCATTTAGTCGTTATAATAGGATTTTTAATTAATTTTTCTGTTTCAATCTCATATTATACTTAATATTATAAAGTTTACTTTTATATGCTTAAAATAATAATTTAAGTTATATTTCTACTTTATTTTTATTGTAAATCTGGTTTCAGTTTGACTTACGTCATTATTTCTGCTTGGAATTAAAATATTTTTTGATTTACGCCACATCAAATAAAATAAAATAAAATTTGTAATAATAATATTATTATTTATAAAATTCAAATGTATAACTTGTCTTGTAACATTTAATATGAATAACTCTTAAATAAAAGATAATAGGTACCTATGTAAATATTTGTTATTATTGCATATTTTAACTACTAGAACCTTTTTATGTTAACTACTTTACCTTAAAAAAATTATTAGGTAGTACTTTTGAGATAAAATTTATTTATACAACATATTATAATATTTAACGACAAGGCGCATTGATCTTGAATTTTGGTAGAAGATCCATTTTACTTAGAAAACGTTTAAAATAGCATTACACAATATTATAATTAATTATAACATTAAGAGGTTATTGACACTAATTTAATCATAACATTCTATAAATAGTTTTTGATTATAATAGGTATTGATAAAACTACTAGCATTTCTTATATAAATAGTAACTTAAGTTAGAGTAGAAGTTAGTTTTTTTTTAATAGATTAAATTTAACCTTTTTGTTGAAATGTAAATAATAAGTAATATATAACTTAAATCATTGATTAAAACTTAAAAATTGAATAAAACACCTAGTAATTTGATCAAAATGTTCTAATTAGGTAAATTGATTAGGCAAAATTGAAATTAATTGGTTTATCACTTACCACTGATAAGTTATAAATACTAATAATTAATAATATATATGAGCCAATAATCTATATAAGCCTATTATGTATCCAGCATGTCTTGATTGAGGAACTTGTCTTACAATATTAGACAGGCCAGAATAAAGTCACATCTAAGAAGTGTCAATATTCCAGATGGAAAATAATAAACTATATTATAATTATTCTTTCATTGGTCACATTGGTGAGATCTAGGCTTTTTCAAATCATAATTAAAAACGGAAAGTACATAGGTACTATAGACATTTCAAGATATGAAATCTGATGTAAGATATCAAATATTTCTTCAGAATCAAAATGAGTCAATGTTAAGTAACTAACTTTTATTTCACTAGTCAGAAAATTGACTTTTTTTTAGTTTGTTTTATAATTACATTAATATTAGACAATAATTATGCTTGCTGAGGTTTTCATAAAGAATTGTCATCAATATGATTGTTAATGTGATATTCTGATGCGCTTGTCATGGTCAGTTGTATTTCTATTGGTCATTGGATAAATATTTTTCTTTAATATTCAATTTTGCCTGAATGAGAGCATTTTTCATATATTTTTTAGAATCATTAGTAGCGTTATCATAGTTTAATTTGTTCAACATGGTAGCAACAAAAATAATGAAATAATTATTTTATATTAAGCCATTGTCCTAATGAGTATACTATAGTCTATAACCCACATATTATAATTAATAACAATGCTCACTAATGTTATAATAAATTTAGTATTAATCCAATTAAGGTGTACAACTTTTCTACCTAAATTAAATATAATGTTTCCAACTTTCACATAATTGAACACTTCAATAGAATTTTATTTAGTATTTTGTGTCATAAAGATACCAGCCATGTGCCAAAATGAATCACATTCAATATTGTCAGAACACTTTCCAAACTTGTTATGTGTTCTTTGAAATACAAATATGTTCAGATGCTCCGTGCTATTAAAATTGGATTCTGGTTCCGCAATATATTACCTACAAATTAAAAGTTTGTTAAAAATATGTCAGTGCACTATTTAATTTTTAACAAATTTTGTTTTCTCTCTGACCTATGAGCAACATGTGAAGTTTGTTAATGTATGCTCGGTCTGTGGAATTGTCTTCAAGAAAATCAACTTTTCAAAAATGTTCAATATATTAGCTTGACTCACTTGTTCCTTGTAGGTATCTACATCTTATTATTATATTTCAGTTTTGAAAACCATGATATTATAATACATTGTGTATTTGTGAGAACTAAAAACAGTAACAGTGACAGTAAATCATTAAGTTACTTTCAGCAAATATTTAAAATTTTAGAGAACTCAGACAACTACTTACTTACCTGTGTCGTGTTTAAACTATTCAACTATGAGACGAGAGTTAGACAATATAGTATAGACCCTGGCTATAGACATTACAAAATGTCTGTAAACCAAAAAGTCTATAACTACAAACTAATCAGTTATTATTGACCTACCTAGACATTTATAAGAATCGGTACGATGTGTTGCCTATACAAGTCCCTAACATAATACGGTAATCGGAAAAGAAGTACCTATACCTATAAAAAAAATAGTGAAAAACGTACTGACAATCTTTTTCGTGTACAGTTCTAGGTATATTTCTACTTTACCTAGCTATTTCGCTATTTTGCGATTTTCACGCATTCGCGCAACACTAGTTTACCGCGCGCCTACTACGAATATTGATATTTATATTATAATTATTATTTATTTGTCGTCGTTGCCTACGTCTTTTTCACCGTCATCGTTCCCGTCATCATCATCGTCATCGTAGTCGCCTTCGTTGAATATCATATTATCCTTATTGTTTGCATCATAAAGGATACCCGCATGTTTAAAGAACTCAGCTGTTGGGTCTAGCTTATGCGAACGGCAGTGTTTGGTAAACATACATTTCGCCAAATAGCCTGCGTAAAAAGCTTTTTTACGGCAGTAATTAGACATTGATGACTTCGAATGCCTCCACGAACTTTCTATTGTGTTAGAGTGGACCCCTGTCTCAGGGTCTTTAAAATGCAGACTATGATTTACAGTTAGGTGCTGATAGCCTTCATTATTTAAGGTATTGTAGGCCTAAAATAAAATAGTAAATTTATTTATATTTCCGAAAATATATTGGACAAATATATTACTCTCCAACAATCGGATATAATGGTTGTTCCCGGTTTTATCCAGTCTTTTATAATGACCAGAAGGGACCCCGATGATGCTTTCGACGTCCAAACTTCGATTCGTCGATTTCAACCGTACGTCCACAGCCGCCCAATTTTACTTTCCGTACCACCATCGCGTCGTAACTTACTTCTCGGCAAAAAGACGACCAATCAGTTAGAACTTGGTTGGAGAACCTCAATTGCACTTTCATCACAGGGAATGAACAGTGCAGTGACCACAAATTAATAAAGCTACAAATTTACGTATACAATTTACATTGGCAATATACCAAATTACTGTAATTTGGCAATCAAACCTAAGCCATCGTTCAGGCTTGAATATTCCATTAAATCAAACAAATTTATATGCTTCTCCATAGTAAAGAATGTTTAAAATGAAATTTAATGTTTTCGCGCCAGTAAAGAATATGTCCCATAATAATTGTCATATCTACTCCCCCGATGAAGAAAGAAGTAACTCATATTTACTAATTTCTTTTTTCTTTCTATGTGGCATCACTGTTTTTTCTAGATTTCCTACTTATAAGCAGTGATTAAAATTTTGCGGCACTTATCGAAAAAAAAAAATATTAATATTCGTAATAGGCGCGGTAAACTATATCTAGTGTTGCGCAAATGCGTGGAAATCGAAAAATAGCGAAGTTCATGAGGCCATAACTTCAAAACTAAGTCCTTGCGCCAAATTTGGACTTCACCATCGTTTTCAGCGTGCTTAACTACATAAGTTTAAAAAAAAATTAAAAAATTGCAAAAAAAAGGGTGTCCGGTAAAGTAGAAAAGTCCCAAATTACTGATTTAACGAAATCATTCAAAATTGTCCACTTTACTGCATATAATATAGGTACCTTCTACTTGTATGTACACAAATATTGTTTCTAACGGTTGCAATACTTGGACAATGGTTTTTTATGAATTATGATCATAATTATTATTTATTAGGTACACAAGATGGAACGTACATGCCATAACAGCGGTTCCACTTACACGCATATTTTTCTTCAATATATCAACTGAATTTTATTAATACCTGCTACGGCTAACTCATAAGTGTTTAATTAAACAATAAATTATAACAGATTCATTTAATAACAAAATAGTAATATATTATATATAACTATACTCTAGTGCGTGTTCCTTAATTCGGTTACAAATAACATATAATAAGTATCTACCAAGGTTATTACTTAATTCCCGCACTGTGCACCACATTTCATATTTTTGAAGATATTTCGAGTTAAACATATTATATTAAATTAATGAAAATATTTAGTCATTTTGAAGAAATAGCTAGGTACATATACTGTATATTCCAATGATATCAGTATAATGCTTTTTAATTAAAGGTTAACATGAATTACATAATGTACCTAATTCAAGACGATTGTTGTTGAATTTATGGCAATTTTAGAATTTTAATAATTAAATATATAGGGGTATACGATTTTATTTAATTAAATTAAAGTAATTGTGGAGTAAAAAAAAATAATATAATAGCTGGAATACGTAGGTACTAATTTTTAAAAATGCCTATATTTATAATTAAATAAAACAAAAATGTAAAGTAAGTACCTATCAGTCTACTATAAATTTAAATTAATCAAATTAATTAAAAATCAACATATAGTTATTTATATTTTATAATATATATAATGAATTAGAATATTTATTTGTTAATGTGTATTATTATGAGTTTATTTATGACATAAGATTTACATTTTGCTCAAAACTATAGGTACGCGTATGACCAATATATTTCCGCGGATCAGATTTGTTTTATTACCTATATTATATTATAGTGACAACTAATAAGCTATGAAAATATAATATTACGGTTATATTAGTTAATTCTTAGCTGACTGGGAAGAGAAGGTATATCATACATGGGCCACCAACCCTCACTATGGTCCACAATTCAAGGCTGGGCATTAAAGAGTTAATAAGTTAAAGTTAAGTTACTTTTAACTAAGTTAATGAACGAATTACTTTTTTTTAGAAGTAACTTCTAACTTAACGAGTTACATTTTTCTCCATGTTATTTAGTAACTTAGTTTATTTAGTAACGAGTTAATTAATTTCATTGGCACGTTAACTTAATTTTTTCCCCAACCACATATTTAAAATTAATTCGATTTTGTAAAATTAATTATATAAAAAAAAACCCCGAAATATTAAAAATATTTTAGTAAATAATAATTTATAATAATAGTAAGTTATTATATTGCATATTCACAGAAAATATTATATAACTATAATATTATAGACGGAAATGTTATAGGGGTAACCGCGTCATTAATAAAATAAAAATAAAACAATTTACTCAGTACCTACCCATTATTCTGTTAAAATTTCAAGTATCTATGGTTATTTGTTTTGAATTACACAAAAACTGGTTTTGCTTAAAACTTCCCGTTTTTCCTTAATTTTTTTTGTTGTTTGCCGACGCTTTAAAACAATACTGCGTGAATTTTCAATTTTTACCTCCCGTATACAACTATACATTCACTTTAACATCAATAGGGAACATGTTATAAATATAATTAGAAATCCAGCCTCTACTTCTAAATTATAATTAAAATCGTGCTTATATATAACCAATACTCGTATACGACTAAATGTTATAGATAATAATTGCAGTCTGATCATCCACGTTCAGGGTTTTGCAGACATCTAAATGACAACGATCTTGCTGCGAATCAACAGAAATCGGGAAATGCGTGTAATGAAAAAAATATCGTCTGACTTGAGCGTAAAACGGTGTACGGTTATTTAACTGTAAATGAATTAAAAGTATTTTATAATAATTAGTTTTAAATTATTATTGGAGTTTGTGTCCGCGACTATTGTGCGAAGCTCGTGCGTACTATAATGCAGGGGTCTCTAAACTTTTTTATTCAAGGGACACAAAAAAAACAAATGCTCTTAGCGGGCCAAAAGTTTCTTAACACATAATTTTTAATTTTATGAATATATAGGTACCTATATAAATAATATGTTTACTTTATATTTTTGTATAGAATATTGTTTACTTTACAATATACTTAAATAAAAATAAATAGGTATAAATATAATATAATAAAAATACATTTTTGAAATAATTTTAGATTCTGAGTGGAACGATGAATGTATTGATTTTACAATGATATGTGTTTTTTTTTTATTTTTTTTGTGTCTGTCATCACCTTTTAGGACAGTAAAAGTGCTTGGATTTTCTTCAGGTAGTCAACAGTATCTTTTCTGATAGGAAAGTGAATCTAGTTGTTACTTTGGGGGGTCAAAAGTATAAATTTCCCAGTAGTTTTTACAAGCGCCGGGAAAAACAACATACAAATTAAGGAAAAAATGGAATTTTTACGCAAAATCTGTTTTCGAGAAAATTGATTTTGGTCTTTGGTGTAACTTTAAAACAAGTAAGTAGATAAGTGAAATATTCACTGGTTGTTTATATTTGCATTTTCTATACACGATATCATTTTCAAAATATTTTGATTTATTTTGAACTGTTTAGGGACATTTTCAGTTTCTAATTTTATTAGTTTTTTTTTTTATGAATATCAATAAAAATGTATTAGTTGGTTAAAAAAGCTTGACAATTTAATAGAGGGATTCTAGTATATTATTTCAAAGGCAGATGAAAAATATTAAAAATCCTTAGTCACCGTTTTTTTTTTTCATAAGCATTTAAAGTCCAAAAATTGACAAAATTTGGAAATATCACGAAAATTAGCAAATTATTTTGAGTTAAGAATTCGTAACAATTTTTCTTTTTAAATCTGAGATTTTAAAATGTGATACAATATTCCTTATGGCTTATAATATTATCTACCTTTATCAAGAAATACATGTCAATAAGAAAGTCAAATTAAATTTTTATGAGCGTTTGAAATTCAAATTTTTACAATATTGGATATTCGCTCGATTTCTCATGTAGCGATTTCCTTATTTTGTTGTAATTCAAAAACGAATAACTGTAGATACATGAAAATTTCACTGAATGTTTATATTAGTATTTCCTATACACCATACAATTTTGAAAATATTTTGGCTCTTTTTGAGCTGTTAATGGACATTTTCAGTTTTCAATTTTTTTAGTTTATTTTTCTATGAATATCAATGAAGTTTTATCTGTTGGGCCAAAAAGTGTAAACATTTAATACAAGGCTCCTGATATATTGTTACAATATCAGTTGAAAAATATTAAAAATACATAGGCACAATTTTTTTTTATAAGCATTTAAACATCGAATTTTGACAGAATTTTTCAAAATCTCGAAAATTATTAACCATCGTAATTAATAAATTATAAAATGTTCAGTTTTTATAGCTAAGGATTGAAAATTTAAAACAAGACTCCACGTAAGTAGTTAATTCTCTTACCAAAAAATCTAAAAAAATATACAATCACAGTTTATTTTTATACTCATTTTATGTTCAAATTTGGACGAAATTACATATTAAAAAACCTAGTTATTTTTTTGTGATTATAATATTATATAATATTATTCGTGGGTACCTACTTGAAACTTCTAAAGTGTACTATTATATATCTATGATAGTATCAGGGTTTGTTATTGATGTATAACGTGTACCTAATGGATATTGTGATATGATTAATTTGGAATTTATTATAGGTCAATTTTTTTTTAATATACCATATTATATATTTAAATAATATGTCTTAAACCTAGACTGACATACCGTCTTCGCTCAGAATCGTTTTTACTTTTACAATGATATTATATCATTGAATTCAAATTTAATACCATCCATTATACCGTGACCCACTTGTAACCTACTGTACAGCAGAGCGACATCCACTTACCCACCTTTTTTTGATTGGCTTAGGTATATTCTCTCGTTTATTTTATTCTGCTAAAATAAATGTACAAGTAATTGGGTTCAATAACCTCTCTGCTGTTGTATAATATTACAGCATATAATATAGGTGTCGAATGTCGAGTCTCGAGTGTAGATTATGTACTGTATATATTATATTGTTGTACAATGTACATAATCATTGTGTAAGAAAAGCGAATTTCGGTATAGAGGTCATCAGTCAGCCTATGTATTAGTATAGGTATTGTATGTTACATTGGTATGATATATTAATATTGCTTTTTGTCATAGTCATCAGTAGGGCTAGGATTTTGTAGCATTTGCATTTTCTTTCATAGTACTCCAGGACATAGCTAATCAAAAACAAAATTCGATTCATTCATCACAGAGTTC